TTATTTGAACCGAACTGGGCTGAGGAGTGCAAGTCTGTCACTGTTTAGAGGGATTTTGTGGAAGAAATCTTTGCAGCTGAAAGAAGTCACTCTCTCTGTATATACAGCCTGCACTCTAAAATGTGTGATGCTGTGGGATAATGCCTGTATAAAATTTTGTGGTGTGTCTCTGCTAATGCAGGATTATTTTTTGAAATGTCAGAGTCCAACAACAACAAAAAAAATAATCAGTGCTAGCTTTGCAAATTGGGAGCTTGGTTTGATATGAAAGAATATATACATATATATTTTTTAATTCGAGAAATTAAGTGATTTTAAGACAAGATTTTCCTTAAAATTCTCCCAGATTTTAGGCAAAGTGCAATGTATATTATCCTGTATTATAAAAAAGGAGGACATGTACATGAAATGAGGGGATGGATGAGCTTTAGCAGTGGACCTATGTGAACGTCATGAGGTTCAACAAGACAAGTGCAAGGTTCTGCAACAAGGTCAGGGCAGTCCTCAGTATCAGTGTGGACTGGAGGATAAAGGGGTTGAAAGCAGCCCTGTGGAGAAGGACTGGGGGGTGCTAGTGGATGGAAAGCTGGACGTGAGCCGGCAGTGTGCACTCGCAGGCCAGAAGGCCAACCGTCTCCTGGGCTGCAACAAAGGAAGCGTGGCCAGTGGGTTGAGGGGATCCTGCCCCTCTACTCCACTCTGGTGAGACTCCAGCTCTGGAGTTCTCAGCACAGGAAAGACATGGACCTGTGTGAGCAGGTCCAGAGAAGGGCCACAAAAATGGCCAGAGGGCCTGTGAGGACAGGCTGAGGGAGCTGGGGTTGTTCAGCCTGGGGAAGCGAAGGCTCTTGGGACGTCTTGTTTCAGCCTTAAAGGAGGCTTATAAGAAAGATGTGGACAGAGGGGGTAATGATTTTAAACTAAAAGAAGGGAGGTTTATAGTAGATATAAGGAATAAATTTTTTGCAATGAGGGTGGTAAGACACTGGCCCAGAGAGGTGGTGGATGCCCTATTCCTGGAAAGGTTCAAGTTCAGGTTAAGCAGGGCTCTGAGCAACCTCATCTAATTTAAGATGGCCGTGCTTACTGCAGGGGAACTGGACTAAATGACCTTTAAAGGTCCCTTCCAACCCAAACCAGTCTATGATTCTAAATCTTACACAGGCAGGTTTTTACCTGTAAAAAACATAGGTTTTCCTCCTGAAAGATTCTTTCTTCCCTTCCCAAACTCTCATCAGCTCTGAACAACAGAATATCCACAGAGTTTGTATGAAAAATGTCTGTACATAAAAACCCTCATGGAATAACATTGTTTAAGGGAAAAATGGCTCACAAATACAATTAAAATAGCATTTTGCCTTTATAAAACGGAATAATGAAACCATTTAGCTTACATGTCATCAGGCTATTTTTCAATTATAGTAAAAAGCATTGGTTGTTGGGTTTACTTTTTTGTTTGTTTATTTGAATTAAAAAAAAAAAAGTAATGATTTGTAGAAGTCAGAGTTCTAGACTAAGAATCAGATGCTACAATCTTTAGGAGTTTGGATGACAAGAACTGGTAATGCTTTTATTAGCAGTGGCTCTGCTTTGTGCTCCATCACCTTTCGATCTCCTGATGGAATCAAGATCTACGTCTTAAATCCAAAAGTGCTGAGGTTCTCTGGGGTTGTGGGTGATGGGACAGCAGTGGGTTCAGAGCTGCTGTGGGCAGTTGCTCCCAGCCCCATAGCTTCCTCAGGGGTTAGGGAGCCAGCTGAGGAGGCAAGGAACAGGTAAAGAGTTGCAGTGAGAGAGAATGGCTCCTGCAGGAGTTTGCTGTTAAAGAGGGTGGAAAAGTGAGGTGTAAAGGTTGTTCTGGGCAGTGTGGTGGTGGTTTCTTCTAAGCATGTGGAAGAGCTGTGCATTTTGCACCGTACTTCTTCAAAAATTCTTCCCCCACCCTGTGGTGGGTCTCTGCTCTGACAAGATAATCTTGGACCATGGTTAGAAGTGTTTTGAAGTGCATTTGAAAGGAGCCTTATATCTCCTTACAGAAGGCAGGGCTAGGGAACTTATGGACAACCAGAGATAAATCTGTCTGCCTATGATCATACAGTAGCAGAGTGAGGTTTAGGGCTTTGCAAGGGGAAAGAGGGGTTAAGCAAATGTAAGTGGCCTGTTTTTTTTACCCCTAAGAGGTAATTAGGAAAATCAAGCCTAATGTCATTAGATTTATGAAAGAAGTACAGCGGTCTGTGGATAATTTCAATGAGCTGCAAACCAGGTGGCAGACGCTGTTCGAGGGAGTAAAAACCGATTGGATGGTGGTAGAATGGCAATCTGAACTGGAGGGCAAACCCAACGCGCTGCTTCCCACTGCTGTGTTCAATTTCAGGAATAAAACATTGCCAGCTTTTGGGGAACACTTCCCCCCTCCAATCTTGAGTGTGTTTCTGATAAAACCTGATCTTTGAAATGCAGCAAAGGAAGGGAGCCGGAGCTGTGCTGTTGGCTATAGGCTCAGGATGGCTTTTAGTTAGCAGCAGCTGAACTGGAGGATACAGGCTGTGCCTGCTCGCTGCGAGGAGCAGACTGTTAGAGGAGGAGTTCAATTTCTCTCGCTCCTTCTTCCACCCACCTCCATCTCCTCTGTGCCTGTGTCTGTGCTTCCACATGCTTCAAATCTGTGTACCTGGACTGCCTTCCTTAACAGTTCAATGTGAGTGTTAGCAGAATGAAAACCAGATGGACCAGCAGTTCCCACTGTTATCTCCTCACCAGCTCTGGCAAGCCTCCCTTTCTCTCTCCTTTCTTGGCATGGCAGAAATATTTGCCTTTATTTAGGAGGGCTTGGGCTCACTGCTGTGCCTCTGTCCCTCTGTTGCAACATGAGCTGAAAGCTATTTATTCCCTTGTTGCTGAGGTTGGTTGAGGTGAGTGCAAGATGAATTCGACTATTAAGGAAGCAATTAACATTTCAAGATGAGTTTTCATAGTTCTTTATATTAAATGAATAGCTTGTTGAAGATATAGAGTTAACTCGTGTAGTATAGTGATATTGAAAGGAAGTTTATATAGAATATTTTTTAAAACTGGCTTTTATTTTCCAGCATGCAATAATTTACTGTTGCTTGATTTGCAAATCAAACCTCACCTATCAGTTGTAGCAGCCTTCATATTTAAGCTAATCATTTTGGATAGGATTCCCTA